ACGTACGTACGTACGTACGTAGTATATAGTACTACTACTACTACTACTCTCTCTCTCTCTCTCTCTCTCTCTCTCTCTCTCTCTCTCTCTCTCTCTCTCTCTCTTTCATGAAACCTCGATTGTAATCGCGTTTTCTTACCAGATTCTCGCAGCTTCTTTTTCCTTTCTTACGTAAATCAGCTTCCGTACTAGACGTAGAATTTAATGCGACAGCTTACGTAAGTCAGCTCCCGTATCAGAATTTAATGCGTAATTTTAGAACAGTAATTGCCGACATTTAGTAGTACTAATGGTCTCTAACTCTTATTTCTTTTGCTTATTTTCTGCGCTGCTCGAATTCTATAGCAAAGGGCGACACCGAAGATCAAACGGAGCAAGAGTTTTCCCAACGAGAGCGAGACGACTGATCACGCGGCCGAACTTGAAGACTTACTCTCCTCGAGATCAGGTACATTTCCTTGATTTTATTAATTCCATAACGTGTGAAATCTTTCAAGTAAAGTGAAAATTTTGATCGAGCATCGAAAGCTTAATGAACTAGAGATATTTGTATAACGATCGATGTAACATTTTTCACCATTTATTTAATAATTAACAGTTTTAAAAGACTAGAGATATTTGCATGACAATCGATGTAATCTGATCTTTCACCATTTATTTAATACTTGACAGTTTTAGAAGAATCGATTGGAGATTTTAAGATAAATTATCGTAATGATTAATCTCTTGTCATAAAGCCATTCTATCTCTACAACGTTGCTTGTATACTTTTTATCGATCGCGCCTTCGTGTCGCTTTTCAAAAGGGAGTCGTATAAATCACACCCCATTCAATAACGAGTACGTTCCGAGTACATTCTAGCCGGTTTCAGATATTCCCATTGTTCCGGAACGAGGATATGTCGCGCCTTGTTTCGCGAGACACACTATCGTAATTTCTATACGAGCTCGCCTTTCTTCCCCTAGTGAAATCTCTTTTCGCGCGATGCACAAAGTATGTATATATATATGTGTGTGTGTGTGTGTGTGTGTGTGTGTGTGTGTGTGTGTGTGTGTGTGTGTGTGTGTGTGTGTGTGTGTGTGTGTGTGTGTGTGTGTGT